CCCCCCCCTGCATGCAGTGTGGTATGTGTGAAGGGTAGTGGTCACCTCACTGGTTTGTAGGATTGATTCTACTTGGAGTGTAGGTTGCAGTGATCCAAGTGCACACGCAGTGGTTTCTACTGGGGGTCATGTGATAGAATCTCCCCGCGGTAAGTACCCTGTCCTGCTCATTTTGTAGTCATTCCATCCTTTTATGATAATTCATGCTATTGTGAAGCTGTCATTTTATATAGTAGTTATTTTAATTCATTATTCTTTTGTGGAATAAAATGATTTGACCTAGCCTAATGATGGTTTCCCTTTTTCTTTTTCAGGTTTCTTTCCAGTATGATTTACCTTTTTTTAAAATAAATATTATTTTGAGAACTGAATGCACGTCTCCCGCTCTCCCTGAACCCTTTAACAATTGTGTCCACCCTCAGATGGTGGGGGTCTAGGGCTGGCATAGTTCTATTCTACATATCTGTCTCCTTTTTAAATCTGAGGAGGGGTCACAAGTATAACCACTGAATAACTTGCTTTGGTGGTATTTTCGTTTGACTCATGAGCCCCTCATGAAAAACCACTGTTGTGAAGCCAAGACAACATCAAGTTGCTTCACTTTTTCAGCACAGTTGCTCCTTCATAGCTTGTCATATGCATTATCATGATTTGCCTGGTCGTGTGTCTTTACATCCACAGCCTCTTGGCAAATTAGGTAAACACAACTGTTTTCAGTGAAAAATAATTCCATTTCAATCTCTCCTGGAAACGGCAGCCCTCATCGTTGACTGTTGACCGTGACAGAAATTAGCTGGAAGTCACAGCATGGGTCACCTGCATACACTATGCATCAAAAGGTCACACAGCCAGACAGGGCTTAAGAGTGGTGCTGCCACCATGAGGTGAAAAGAAAAATTATATATTTAACATGTATGACTTACCGATTCTGTTTCACGGTGGTGGCGGGCCATATACATTTTAAGACAGGAGATGGTGGGCCATATAAAACCTGAGCTCGGGCTGGACTTTGGACATGTCTGACACAGATACTGTTCTGATCAATTTGACCTGGAAATAAAAATGGAGGCTAAAAGGGGTCAAAGCTCAGTGTCATAGTGACCATATTTACTAACTATCATTAAAGGTGCAGTATGTAACTTGTTTGGATTTATATTAGCAATAATCAAACATTGCTTTCATAAACACAACATGTATAAGTCTAATCACAGTCACATAAAAAATGAAAGCTTTCTCGTAGCTTAGAATGAGTTGTTTACAGATACATAGGTGGAGGTGCACAACTCAGGGCTGCCATGTTGCATCGCCATCTTTGAATACGGTAGCCCAAGGGGACAAACTTGGTTCACCTTTCGCGTTTTACCTGTAAAAAAGAAGAAGCAAGCAAAGACGACTGTGTTGGTGGAAGTGCCCTGTGGTTCATTCTACTTGCCATTTCCCCTTGAAATGCAGGACCATGCATACTCTTTGCCCCGTGAGAGGGAAGGCAAAACACCCAAGAAAAGAAAAAGAAAACATGACCGGGATAAAAATAAAGTCTACCTCGGCGTAGCTTTTCTCAGCTGGAGACAACTCATGAGTGAGAAGGACTTGAAAACGGACACGGAGGTTGCAGGCTTTCTGTGAGACCGGTTTATGTTGGTGTAATGTCAGAACCAGGGCAGTGTAGTCCAGCAACTACTGTATCCTCCCATTTACATCCTGTGGCGTCCCGACAGTTCCACTGCCCCTGCAAAATGACCGTAGCTACTTGCGATTAGCAGTAGCATGGTACCACATACATGTTAATTATGGAGGACAGGCTTATAACTTATTGGCATTAATAATAAAACAAATTATCGTTCTGTACCTCATCACTTAACGGAACACTCGAAGTTGTGCGTGAAGTTGACATATTGACACGTTCTTGACTCTTCGTGGCTTCCATAGTGATAATAACGCGCTTACCTGGGGGGGATGCGAGAGAGCACTACTTGGTTGTTTGCATTGTATTAGCACACCACTAGATGGGAGTAGATGGGTGGCTTTAAGTATTATTACTGTTGATGTGATATTACCATCTTATAAGGCTACTTAGCAAGGCATATTGAGATCATAATTCATGTACAGCAACTTTATCATGTCCTATCCAAAAGCAATAACTAGGAGGTTATAGCTGGTGAACTCTTGGTTAATGGTGTAATAAATAAAGGATATGGCCATGCATAAGTCTCAATAAGTGCTTTGTAATGAATAACATAGAAAAAATATTCTAGTAATATACATGTTATTTAACAGGTGGTTAATGGTGAATATGTATAGTCTAATTATAAGGTATTGCCAATTAATGCACAAGTAATGTGATATCAAATCTGTATGTCAAATCAGAACCCTACAGAGCAGAAGGTCAAGCAACTTCTCATCCATCCCCTTTACTCAGTCACCATGTTTAGTCTCTTGGGAGGCAGTTCAGAGCTCCTGTTGGCCTCTGTGCAGCTGACAAGCAGCATGGCTGATCTGCTTCAGTGTGTGTGTACAGTGTCTCATATATATCTATCTGAGTCACATCGTCACATTTGCCAAGAAGTAGATACAGTAACACCGGACTTGGCAAACACCAGCTCTGCTGTATAACCTGCCACGTAGCAGACGTTTCTCCACACAGTGCTGTGTCAACATGAGCCTGAGATATTACCAAACAAACACTCTTCCCTGCCAGAGACACAAATGCTGATGAATTCCTGCCTCATGCCTCATGCCGCATATATATATATATATATATATATATATATATATATAAAGACATGTTCATCATCAGGCTGAACCTGTTTGACACCTTCTGTAATCTGTGTTTAAGGGTGATGTCTTTGTGTGTGTGTGTATGTGTGTCAAATGTGCTGCAGGGCTGACCTCAGCAAAAGGAGAAAGAGAAGAAGAGGGTGTTTATGAAAGGCTTACAGGTGTGTGTGTGTGTGTATTCATTTCAGACTCTCCTCCCACTAGGTGGAGCTCTTCCTCTCCTCCCTCTGTCTCCACTCCGTTCCCTCCCTGTGGATGTGGCTGCCAGATCTCTGACTAAAGCAGCAAAATGAATCAGAGGTGGAATCACAAATGGATGGATATGATCCCGAGATGCTTCCTCTTTGTCTCACTGTGGCCTGCTTTCCAACTGGCACAGGCATGTGTCTCATATTTGGCATGTCTCTCTGTGCTGAATTAGCTGGATTACATTTACACCTGGTGTTAAAACCCATCCCTGGTATACACACTTAAATAGGATTTCTCTTCCCCATCGCCAAAATCTCAACAGATTGCTGCGCACATCTGCTGTCATTCCCCCATTTTTTAAGTGATGGGAATGCATAAATGATAAATTCAGAGATCCACTTTACACACTTTGCCTCCTCCAGATCAAGTCCAGCAGGTGGGAGTCACACACATGCATCAGAGACATCATTGTACAAACTGATAAGAGCAGTTTGAACCCAAACACAGAGCACTTTTTATCATGATATTTAGGGCTTTAAAAAATACCTTACCATGCTCCACATTTGCACACACTCAGACAGGGCCATGTTGAGAGGTCCTCAGGTCTTTCTTTTGTTGTTTTTGTTGAATGGAAGGATGCAAAACACAACACAAAAGTGTTTTTTGTTTGTTTGTTTTGTTTTGTTTTTAATTTTCAAATTATGTATGATATGTTAATAAGAAGTCACAATCAAGCACCACTCACTGGACACAGGAAAAAAAGCTTTGAAAGATAAAATTCATCTCCACTTACTTCAATCTATGTTTCATGCCAAACTCATTATTAAACATTCAACTCTTTATTAACATTTACGATGCTAACATGGGTAATAATTTGGGTGTGGCCATAAAGGGACAATTTAGCATTGCCCCTCCACAACACACAGCTAAAAACCTGGAAACTTGCTGTTCAAAGTTCACAATCTCAAGATGTTATATTCCTGATGACATCACAGTGACATCATCAGGAAAGATTTTATGAGGTTTGAAACAAAAAAAAAGGTCCTCTGAAGACACAGATGAGCCTCAGAGGTGTTTTTCCCCACATTGTAAAGAATGTCATCAGCTTCATTTAAACTGTAAAATCCATTATGTATCCTTTGAATTGAACCTACAAGGCAGAGAATACTGGAGAAGGGGACTTTGTATGATAATTGTTTATGTATACAGGAGACACTACCTGCGTCCCTGCGATGCTCTCACTGTTCTGGGTTTAAATACCAATGGGTTGATGTTTACTCTTTCAGAGAATATGGACTGTCGCCATTTACATTTGTTTGTTAAACGAGGACAAATATTGGCTGAGAAAACATCTCAGTCAAATCAAACCACAAGTTTTTTCATTTCTGAAACACAACATGGACAGAAAAGTGGAGTCATACTCTAGTTGTAAGAATCAAAATTGTTTATGTAATTAAGCATTACAGATGGCTGGGTATCTCACCCTGAGGATCATCAGACATGCTCTTCATACTTGAAGTCATGAAACACTCACTCTGCATTATGTTAAATAGATTTTACTATTTAGCTCTTTGACGAAGACCACCACAAGGAACTTCAAAGAATAACCAATTGGATGGGAGGGCTTTTTCAATGTCCATCTTTAGATCGTACTTAAGAAGTGATTTGAATCCAGAACCTCTGACACCCAGAGCAAGGATCCCTCCCCTAGACCATCAAGCCTTGTATGAATGCTGTTTATTCCCAAAAATATTCAAATTGTGTCTCTTAGGATGAAATCATCTTTCAAATGTATAGGGGTTGTTCACAATTTTGTATCGTCGTTAGCACCTTTAGTTACAATCCATTGATGAGGCAAACATCTCGAAAAACTACGGGAGGCCGTGTATTTTTCTCAGTAGTATCTGCTTAGTAGAGACCCAACATGGTTCAGTTTACTAGTTAAACACAGTGCAGTCATGTGATGCTTACGATTTTCACCAGACAAATTTGGGGTCATTGTCAATGACCATTCTAAGATCCAACGTACCAAAGGGCTCGTCCGGGATTTGTACCCGGAAATTCTCGCACCCAAAGCAAGAATCTCACCCCTCGGCCAACAAGCCTTCTACAAGCCAAATTTATTCCCCAAAAGTTGGAAATTCCATCTGTTAAGATGAAACTAAGTTTTCACATGGACACTCACATGCTGTGAGGGCTTTTTCAATGAACATCCCTGGATCATATCTAACCAGGGGTTCGAATGGGATATGAAGCCAGCACCTTTCGCTCCCTAAGTGAAAATCAAATGTGTATTGATCCTTAGGCAAGGCAAGGCTATTTTATTTGTATAGCCCATTTTTACAAACAGTTTGTTTCAAAGGGCTTTACACAGCATTATGACAACATCCTCTGCCCTTAGACCCTCACATCGACTGAGGAAAAACTCCCAAGAAAACCTTTAACAGGGAAAAATGGAGAAACCTCAGGGTGAGCAACAGAGGAGGGATCCCTCACCCAGGACGGGCAGACGTGCAATAGAAGTTGTATACAGACAAGAAAACAATTTACATCATGGAATATGGAAAACCTTGAAATGGAATCATTCAGTTAACGAAAAATGATGAAGGCAGCTCCTGGTGGGCAGGGAGGGAAGGCCAGCTTAATGGGACTACTGGACGGCAGACTGGGTTGTGAGCAGGGAGTGTAGACCAGTTTAACAGCAGGAGAAAGGAGGTGATGGAGGCGGCGGTTGGTTGGTTGGTGCAGGGGGATGGAGCTCTGAAGAGATCTGTGGAAATACAGAGAGAGTGTGAGAAACTAAGGCCAGACTACAAAGTGCAACAAATAATGACAGTTCAAAACGTGTGAGGGGAGGAGAGGAGAGGAGAGGAGAGGAAGGATAGGGCTCCATGTAACCTGATGTGTCCCCCAGCAGTTTAAGCCTATGGCAGCGTAGCTATAAAAATGGATCAGGGCTACCTGAGCCAGCCCTAACTAAAAGCTCTCTCATAGAGGAAGGTCTTAAGCCTAGACTTAAATGTAGAAAGAGTGTCTGCCTCTCTGACCCACGGAGAGAGCTGGTTCCATAATAGAGGAGCCCGGTAACTGAAGGCTCTACCTCCCAGTTTGTTTTTAGAGATACTGGGGGTCACTAACAGACCTGCATTCTGGGAGCGAAGTGCTCTGGTAGGACAGTATGGGATAATGAGGTTTTTCAGATAAGTTGGAGCTTTGTCATTAAGACCCTTGTAAGTAAATAGAAGGATCTTGAAGTCTGTTCTACATCCTACAGGAAGCCAATGGAGAGAAGCTAAAATGGGAGAGATGTGCTCTCTCTTACTAACTATTGTCAATTGCCTCGCTACAGCATTCTGGACCAGCTGGAGACTCTTTAGAGAGTTTTTTGGACATCCTGACAAGAGAGAGTTACAGTAGTCCAGCCTAGAAGTAATAAATGCATGGACCAGTTTCTCAGCATCACTCTGAGAGAGGATATTCCTGATCTTAGTTATACTGTGCAGGTGAAAGAAAGCAGTCCTAGTCACATGCTTTATGTGAGAGCTGAAGGAAAGATCCTGGTCAAAAATGACTCCAAGGTTCCTCGCAGTTGGACTGGAGTTCAGGGTGATGCCATCCAGAGTAGCAATCTGATTGGAGAATGTGTCTGTGAGATGCTTAGGTCCAAACACAATAACCTCTGTTTTGTCAGAGTTCAGTAGTAGGAAGTTAGAAGACATGCAGAATTTGATGTCTTTCAAGCAATCTTGCAGATTGATGAGGCGGCTTCTATCATCTGGCTCTATTGATAGGTAGAGCTGAGTATCATCAGCGTAACAGTGGAAATTGATGGAGTGCTTCTGGATTATATCCCCTAATGGAAGCATGTAAAGAGTGAAGAGAACTGGCCCTAAAACTGAACCCTGTGGCACACCATACGTAACTCTGCTGTACTCTGAATGGTAATTGTTAACATTAACAAATTGAAACCTGTCAGATAGATATGAGGCAAACCATTTTAGAGCAGATCCTTTAATCCCAATTTCATGTTCTAGCCTCTGAAGCAAGATGCTGTGATCGATAGTGTGAAATGCAGCACTGAGGTCCAGAAGTACAAATACAGAGACAAGACCTCTGTCAGAAGCTATAAGAAGATCGTTGGAGACTTTGACCAGTGCTATGGTGGGAAGGGGAAGACATCCTTGGGCAGTTTTGTTGGGATTGGGTCAAGCAGACATGTATCTGATTTGGAGGAGGTGATTACAGAAGTTAGGTCAGACAGGTCGATGGGGAGAAGCTGTTCAAGTATGCACCAAGTCTGGGAGGTGCTTCCGTAGGGGCTGTAATCTGTGGTCCACTACTGCCGATCCTTGTTCTGATACTTACGATCTTTTCAGTAAAGAAAGTTAGGAAATCGTTGCTGCTGAGAGTCGGAGGGATGCATGGCTCAACAGCACTGTGGTTCTTAGTCAGCCTGGCCACAGTGTTAAAAAGGAACCTGGCATTGTTTTTATTCTCTTCGATTAAAGATGAAAAGTATGTACTCCTGGCGCTGTGAAGCTCTTTTTTATATATAATAAACTATCTTTCCAGGCTCGACGGTCCTCCTCACGTTGGCTGGAATGTGTTTTCGTTTCCAGCTGTCTGGTCTTCTGCTTCAAGATGCGCAGGTTTGAATTGTACCAGGGAGTTATTCTCTTCTGGTTGATGACTTTCTTTCTCAGAGGGGCTACAGCATCAAATGCTCCAAGGAGTGTTGCTGCAGTGCTGTCTACAAGATAATCTACCTGCGAGGGAGTAAGATCAGCATAGCTGCCCATCGTATTACCAGAAGGTGTGGCAACAAGCTCTGCTGGAATGAGCTCTTTAAATCTAGAAACAGCAGTTAAACAGATAAACAGATAAACAGATAAACACCTACTGTAGTGGTATTTTTCCCATGCAAAGTGTAATTTGTTAAAGTAAATCCAGAGGTTATTAAAGAATGGTCAGACAAGACCGGGTTTGAGGGAAAACTGTGATGTGATCCACTTCTATTCCATAAGTAAGCACTAGATCAAGGATATGATTAAAAGAGTGAGTGGGCTCATGTACCCTCTGGGAGAAGCCAATTGAATCTAAAAGCAACTTGAATGCTGGGGCCAGACAGTCGTCATCGACGTCCACGTGAACATTGAAGTCACCCACTATAATGACTTTGTCTGAGTTCATTGCTAAATTTGACAAAAAGTCAGGGAATTCTTCTCAGAACTCAGAGTAAGGAGCAGGAGGACGATACACCACAGCAAGTAAGAGTGGTTTCTCTGCTTTCCAGTCTGGGTGGGAGAAGCTGAGCGTAAGGCTTTCAAATGAGTCATATGACACATTAGGTCGAGGGTTAATAAGCAGATCTGACTGATAAACTGCAGCCACTCCTCCTCCTCTACCAGTGTTACGAGGCACGTGGTAGTTAATGTAACTAGGAGGGGTAGATTCATTTAAACTGACATATTCATCCTGCTGCAACCAGTTTTCAGTTAGAGTTAGTAAGTCAATTTGGTGATTAGTGATCAAATCATTCACTAGCAGAGACTTGGATGAGAGAGATCGAATATTTAGCAAACCACATTTAATAGTTTTATTTGTTTGGTTTGCTGATGTAGCGGTTTTGATTTTAACTAAGTTGCTATAATTGGCACTTCCAGCTTTGGGTTTAGGCTTATACAGCCTCGAGGCAGACACAGTTTTATGGGGTATAAGTAGGGTTGGGTGGGTGACAGCACAAAGGAACCTGCAGAGGAGCGTATAAAACTGTGGCTCTGCTTGCTGGTCTGAACTCTGGGTGACTGTCAGGGGTTGGACTGACTAACAGAACGTGCTATGTTTCTAGATAAGAGCGATGCACCATCCAAAGTAGGATGGACGCCATCTCTCCTAATCAGACCAGCCTTTGCCCAGGAAGTTTTCCAATTATCTATATAGGCCACGTTGTTTCTAAGCACCACCTAGACATCCAGCGATGGAATGACTACATGTGGCTAAACATGTCGTCACTAGACAGTGGTGTCTTCCCCTCTTACGTGTTTCGTCATTGACAAATCTCTGGAGAAGGTGCTTCAGTATAATGAAAAGATCATCTGCCAGGAAAGGTAGCATTGGCTGATGAATTTGGTATTTTATTAGAAAAGGCGTGCACTCTTGTGCAAATGGAGAGAAAGGTGTTGGCCTTTACCAAAAACATGGGGTCGGAGCATTCCTTTTCAATACGGTCAAAAGACCTGTTTTTTGGATGTGGCACTTTAGAGGCCTTAACATTAGCCACATATGTCTGGACCTGTGGCCATATTGTAATGGCTCTTTCTAGGACTGTGACATTCTCTAGCCATCTATGTTGACAGTACTTGAGAGGAAAAAGAGTTGAACCTGTTACTTGTGCATAATCATCACGTCTGGCTGGGGAGTCCTTAAAAAGCCAGCAAAGACTGTTTAGAGTTTGCTTAATGTCCCAGGTGGTTGTGTTGCTGCCAGCTTTCAATGCATTGTGCATTACATGTAGACCACAGCTCCCTTTGTTGAGGAGTTTGGAGCCAATCTCCTCTTCCAAGTCCCTGGACAGTGTGTCAAACAGCTTCTAGTTTACATTTGGTCCATCCATTGCTAGCTGCAATATGCCATGAATGCCAACAGTGGTGCCAACAGGTCATCAGCACATGCATGTCCAAGAAAATGAGAGTCATAAAACCTTGTGTTTACACAGTCTCCATCCTAACAGCATATGTGCACATCTAGTTGTTTTGACTGGAGGGGGCGGTTCAAACTTCCATCATACAGTAGGACATAGTCACTAGTAGATTTCACTTTTGACAAGAGAAGTGATGAGAACGTGGTGCAATGCCAAATGTTGTCGAGTAAGCTGCCTTGTCATCCCTGCAGGTGAACTCTGAGGCAATATTACTGTCTGGAAACATAAGGTGGAAAAGTTCACTTTTTCCAGCACAGCTGTTGAAGGATCCATGCTTTTCAATGACATCAAGCGCTCAGTACACTTCCGCAGACAGAACCTCTGGCCCATTCACAAAGGTCCTAATCAAGCTACTGGATGTTGCTGGAGCTGTGTCACTGAGAAAGATAAACTATTTGGGCTCAT